AGAATAATAAATGCAGATAAAGTAGGTATTTTTAAATAGAAGATAACTTCCTTCCCATAAATGTAAAAACTCAAATGAAATGATGATTTTCCAGAAAAATAAAAACACAAGTACTAAAACTGACTGAAGAAGAAATAGATACGCCAAATAGAACTGTAAACCTTAAAAAGCAATTGAATCACTGATGAAAATCTATCCACATACAAATCAACAAATTCACTTGGTTTTACAGGTGAGTTTTTACAACCCTACAGGAACAAACACATTTATACAAAAAGTCCTTTGATAATTTTAGGGCTTCTTATGTGAAAGAATTCCGTAAAAAAATAAAAAAGTATCCCATTAATGATAATTACTGTCATTGTGGAAGTTGATACAGAGAGTAACATTTTTGGTGAAAAATTACCTGTTATTCTTTTAAAAGATAAGAAAATATTTCTCTGTTAGAGTGATAAAATTCTAGAAGACACCTAAAATGATCTTTATAAAGAATATAAGAAAGCTATTGCAGCCATCCTTCATCCTTTGTTTAGCCCAAAGGGAAAAGATGGAAACTTAGAGACAAAAAGGATCAAAACTCTTCTTTTAGCTTAAGAACAAACACATGCCATGAGGAAGACTTAGCTTCAGAAGTGTGTTCAAAGTGAGATGTGATTCACAAACAGGTGAAGATCATGTGCTTCATCCCCTGACCAACCAGCTGCTGTATATGCTTCAAGAACACCGAATACAACAAAGAGAAACAGATCAAGGGCAAGGGTAGGTTTTTCTAAGAGATCGAGATCTCAGGTAATACAGATAGATATCAACTGAAGAAACTATGTGGTTTCATATTTCAAATCAGGACAGACTGGAGCCCAGAGGAGAAACCTTCACGGACCAAACTGCTTTGCCTTTTCCTTAAAACAATACTACAAACAAGTTATTTAATGTCAAGACAACAGGGTGCGGGACGCCTGGGTGGCTCAGTAGGTTAAGCGTCTGCCTTCAGCTCAGGTCACGATCCCAGGGTCCTGGGATCAAGTCCCGCATCGGGCTCCCTGCTCCGCGGGGAGCCTGCTTCTCCCTCTGCCTCTGCCTGTCTCTCTCTCTATCTCTCATGAATAAATAAATAAAATCTTTAAAAAAAAAAAAAAGACAACAGGGTGGAGGAAAGTGGAAAATTCTGCATCCTAACCCCAAGTTTAAGGGTAAAGGAAACGAAAAGGTCAGGATGCATGGTGACACCTGGAAGAGGCAAACAGGCCAGCTCAAGACTACAAGATAAGTGAGGGGACATCTGGGAAACCACTGAGGACAAAGAAGGGAGTTCTGTTGCTTTACAGAGTAGAGACCCAGTGCTCTGTTCCTGGACTTCAAAGAGAGGTAGAACACATGCCCAAGTTCACCCAGTTTAGGGCAAAGCTCACTGATCCACTTCATGGGCAAGGAAAGCAGAGAAGACCATCTTAGAACACTCCAGGAAATTTTTCTCTTCTTAATTCTTTGGCTACCTATTATTCTAAACTACAGAACTCCATCCCTGTGTATAGGATTTACCAAGCAAGGTGTGCATTTATAGCTGTTAAAAAAATCAACAGTTATTCAAAATATAAGCATTCAAAATAAAGAACAATACAACTTCACCTGTGTAAGGATCTAAGTGAAAAACAAATTGGGAAATGTTTCTTGCCAAAATTTTAAAAACTATTCAAAGTTGTACTAAATTCTATGTTCTTTTATTTATTTAACCTACTTTACATATGCATTCACATCATCATCATGACTATAGAACGTTCTTTTTAACCAAATAATTCAGAAATTGAGTTTCCCTGATAATCAGATAAAAACAATGAAAAGTTGAATCATTCAACACTCTGCCAAAAATGCACTTGCGCACTTCTTACTGCAATATTTCTAAGATTATATTGTGCTGCAATCTAGCAAACTATGCTGATTTCACCACCCGGCATGATTGAAACCTACAGATGTGATTAGGAGCCTCCATTCGGGGCAACCTATTATCTTTGTTTAGATTAATCACTAGCAATGTGTCTCCATGTTCTCTGCAGCAGGTTAAGTTCAGGTACACTGGGTTCACGGCATAAAAGTGCCCCAAATAGAAACCGTGGCATTTCACATGAGTTAACACATCTGTTATCTCATCACCTCAAGTCCCCTGCACAGCTCAATTCATCATCCTGCCCCAAGTATGAGCAAATTAAGTCATCTAAGTCACCCCCAAATAACAGTTTTTCCAGTGCAAAAGTTACAATAGAATTTGAATGACTAGAGACTGCTGAATGGGCTGGAAAGGCATCCCTCAATACAAGGACAGTCTTCCCCAAAGCCCACAGAAAGTTTAGGTCCTGGGGGAGACGATGGGGGGTATCTGGGCATTTCCAGGCTCGTCTAAGGACAGACAGAGCTGCAACAGGAGAACAGGGTTGAACTATATACAGTAAGAACCTAGGAAAGACCCCAAGGACTAGCTTTTAGGACTCTAAAACTGCACTTTCTGCTCTCGGAACTATATCCTTCACCCCACCCATGGCAGTCTCTACTCAGGTCTCTCTCTGCTCAGACCCTTCTGGTTGGGAGACATGAACACCTGTCTGTATTTTCATCTCTGTGCCACCCCAGATGCAGAAGAGAAAGAGGAGATAGTAGCCAGTGAAGTTGAAAACTGGGGGGATGGGGGGGGAAGGCCTGAAAGACTGGGAGAACAGCAAGTGCCAGGGGATAGAAATACATCTGGATAAAAAAAAAAAAGTACTGCCCATGGGCAGATCAATACACCTACGACCTCAGACAAGCATTTTAATAAAATGCCACACAATTAACAGAGTAAGGTCCAACAAGATGAATGGATCATGATGGAAAAAGAACAAGTATGAAAAAGCAACCCACGCAAATAAGAGCACTTGGAAAAGGCTGAGCCTAAAACAGAAACAGAGAAAGGCAGGAGGTAGCCCAGCCCAGTGGAAAAGGGGAGACAGTACCAGAGAACCGAGTGAGGATACTGTGACTCCTTTTCCACTCCTACTAATGATGACAGTAGTCAGCACTCATTCCATGCCCAGGATTTTCTAAGAATGTTAAACATAGGTAGTCTCATTTAATCCTCCTGAGAAAACAAGCCTCCAGGATAGCCACGAAGATGAGACATCAGACAGACCTGGGTGGAATTCTGGCTCCCCACCCACCAGCAAGGTAACCTCCCCACTTCTGCTTCGCCGTATAGTAAACGGGGTAATCATACCTACCCAGGATGGTTGTGAAAATTAGAGATAATGAACTTAAGTGCCTACCAGCGGCTGTTATTAGTGTAATTAATTAGATTAAAATAATCAGGAGTGAAGAACAAAACAAAATGTTGTAATTGAATAGAAATGGCAACCAAGAAGCAGTAATGGAAACAGGGCCCAAAAGCACCAGGCCAGTGATGGAGGCTGGGAGAGAGAGTGAGTCAACGGAGCCTGCATTTGGCTCCCCACTTGGTGTGTCTGTGAGCAACTCATGTCAACTCTCTGGAATTTCAGTTTCCGCCTCTACCCAGTGTGTGTGTGTGGGGGGGGGGTATTAATATCTGTCCTTCCCACATGGCAGGGTTGTTGTGAGAAGATAGCACCTGAGTTTATTATTACGGGCAATGAATTTATGCAAATGCACATACCTACTTGATAGATAGGGAAATCCATTTCCTCTGCTTCCATTTCTCAGGTGGAATTAAAACACGCAACTAGTACAACCATGTCAAAGCCAGGCAATCGCAGACTGCGAAGTCATTAAACAGCATGTGCCCCCTTTTGTCATCATTAATAGAATCTAATTAATTTCATCTGACATCAGGTTCACCTACCCCAACTTCCACCCTCGTAGAAAGCCATCTCTTCGGACTGCTTTGTGTTTGCCCTCAATTTATGTCTCTATTTATGCCTGTCTAGAACGTTGTTCCCTTTCATCTCCAACTGACCATATCCTGGTCTTCCTTGAAAACCCCATTTAAATGCTTCCTTTGCATGAGGAAGTGATTTCTGCCTCCCTACACTGCCATATTATCTTTTTGGAGTTTGTCACACTACTTAGCACTTTCCTGTATTACGGTCACTGGTGTGTGTGGCACCTCTCCCACCAATCAATAAGCTGGAGGCTGACGGGCAAGGCGTCTTCATCCTTTATGGAGACCTGCCTCATCGTACAGCACGGGATCCTTCCCAGGACAAATGTTGAAGACGTATGCAATAATGCAAACATTCTTTTGACCTAATAACTTCTTTGAATCTTTACAACAACAGTAGTTGACATATTTCAAAATTAAAAAAGTACTTAAAATATAAAGTAAAAATAATGTAAAGCCCCCATGATCACAACAAAAGTTTATGTGGGGGGGGATGGAGAATGAAGGTGAGAAAATACATTCTGAGCTTCGGCTTTCCAAACGAGAGTTAAAGAGAGAGTTTGAAAAATGGGTTAATGATCTTCACATATGCATCTCACTTCACTAGGCTCAGTCGCCTAAGAAAAAGCTTCCTGGAGAGTGACAGCCTCAGCCCAAAGGTGGGAGGAGACAGGGTGTTCCTGTCCCAGCTGCAAGCGCTCAGTTGTCCCTGGTCCCCTCCCAGGCACTTCATTAGTCAGGTGCATGGCAGGGTCTGTGTCTTGGCCAAGGCGCCTCCTCTCCTCGGAGCATCTAGGGCTTTAACCGTTTTAGCCTCTGTGCTAGCCTGCGCCTCTCTCCCCATGACAGATAGGAATAAACCTCAGCCCACTTGCCTCCTCCCTCAGTAAACAGGTCTCTGCTTTGGCAGAGGGCTGTACCACTTGGCGTCTGAGGTAAAAGTAAGCAGCACGTCGGTGACTTCGTCTGGGCTAATAGTTTGGGGCTATTTCAAGGCCAATGTCCACTTAAGAACCAAAGCATGAAAACGTTCCTCCCCGGGTCCCTTTAGACTCAGATGCCCACCCGCGCTTCCCCACCCGATCGCCCTCACCCCAGCTGCTGGGTCCAGCTCGCTCACCTATCTTAGCCAGGGAGGCCAGCAGGATCCACAGGGTGATCTCGAAGGGGATCTGCACGTGGGGGTAATCCAGGGTGAACACTGGCAGGCGACTCTCCTCGAACGGCGTCGTTCCGGGAGCCACCACGCTCGCGGGGCTGGGCGGGCTGGAGCTGGCGCCCATGGCCCTCGACGCGTCCAGCAGGGTCTCAGCCAGGGTGCCCGCCGGCCCGGCCACCTGCAGGAGCAGCAGCAGCAGCAGCGGCGGCGGCGCCCGCAGGCTCCGCCCGGTGCCCGCGAACTCCATGGGGTCG